AGTTCTAGAAGTGTTCTAGAAGCTAGTCTGTTAGTCTAGTAGTTAGTTTTGAATTCTCAACAACTCCTTAACAGTTAGGTAGTTAGGCAGTTTCTTTAATAGCTGAGTCATTGTAATTGAGCTATATAAACACAATAATATAGACTGTGCTAAAGTAAGTTGAAGTAATGAAGTAAAACATACATTTCCTACATCATTTCTTGAATCTTTCTGCAATATGCAATATCCTTTATCCTGTTATAAGATTTGCCTATCCATCATTTCAATTGAGGGAACAACTTTTGTAAATTGTAATCATTTGAACGTACTTTTAATTGTTGCGCTTGTATCTCCATCCATAAACCTAAAAGAATAAATTTTATTATTTTAAAGAATAAATAAATTAAAAATTATATAAAATAATCACAATGTAAAATAGTGTTATATACATTTACTAGATTAAATCATATATATTCATAAAATAAAATAATGAAAACTGATACGTACCCAAAGATAAAGACAAATAACTTGAACAAACGATCCGTAAAACATGTCTTGGAAAAACGATTTTTAAAACCCTATTGAATCCAATCTTATTTGTAGGAGAACGATTGTTTATATGCAACATGTTCATCAAAGAGCCGTCGTTAAAATTTCATATTATTGTTATAATATACTTTATTAATTGTCCTTTTGGGTTTAGTTTATTAAATTTTCTTTTAATACCTTTTTAGTGCTTTAACGATGGGCTTATTAACAACATAAATATATTTAGTGAATTATTAGACTGGTACAACTGTCAATACACTATTGGTGGGGCACCGAAAAGAACATTAAAAGGGACAAAAAAGCTATATTCCTGTCTAATAGCCCTAACATCCTTAAAGTACCCAACAAGTCCTCTATTCAAGGACACCGAGAACTTAAGCGAAGTGATGCAGGTTTATTCAATATCATTATGTTCTTCAAATTAAATATTTTAAACCATTATAATTTAGTTACATTGTTCTTCAAATGAATTATTTTAAACACTTTTAGTACGCTCAACTAATAATTTATATGAACCAAATAATCTCAATACTTAATAAATTGTTGTTATTCTTTAATTTTTTTATGTTCGAATACTATATATACTTCATAATATATATGAATAGATATTAGATTTTATTAACCCACATTAGTTAAAAAAAACTATCATATATCATATTTCATTAAAGGAAAGGCTGTAATAGTATTCGTTACTGGACTGGAAAGAAATGGACCCAAAAGGATGAGCCCAAAGTAGTGGAACGCAGTTTTTTTTCATTTAAATTAAAAAAAATCCGAAATTTCTTCAAGGGAGAGAATTTGGGAGAGACGACGAGCTGGTGGAGTTATACCATGTATCAGTTATGACTGTTTTGAACTGAGAATCCAGTGAAAACTGAGAGTAATGGAAGGATGGGATCCCCAAAATCTAGTTCTACCGGAAGGTGGTAAGCTACGAAGATCACAGTCAGAGTATCTGGACCAACATTTCAACACCCAGAAAGATGTTTCTTCATCTTCTACTTCTTGTCTATTGTTGGAATGGACCAAACACTGTTCTGATTGCGACAATCGTCTGCTTCACCTCCGAACCACCCTCATGGAGCTCACCCTTTCGTGGATCTCTCCTTCTTTTCGAGCCAAAACTTCCCTCGCAAATCTCAAGCTCACCCTCTACGCTTCATCTCTCTGTTAGCGCCCTGCTTAAATTTTGTTGGTTGATTTTGCTTCATCTCTTTCTCGCGCTCTCTTTTTGATTTGAGTTTATTTGGGTTGTGCAGATGGGACTGCTTTGCAGAGGCTTCTGGCTGAAGAGCTGCCGCTGCTCGCCCTTCAATTGCACCGAATTCACGCCATCCGCCAATATATTGGTCAGCCTATTTTTTGACCTTATCGCAGTAATTCCAAGCAGATAACTTCCAGACTATTCATTCTTCTCCTAAATTTCTCTGCATAATACTGTGTTTGTTTAGTGTTGCACTCTATGACACTGTGTTTGTTTCTTTATGCAAGTTTCTTCAATTGCTTATTGGCTTATGTCTAGGAACCGCCTAGCGTTTTATGTTAGGGAACAAATTTTTAAAAGGTAAGGGTGCGGAATTATAAAATTTTAAGGGGTGAAATTAGATCATCAATATGAAATAAAAAGAAAATACATAAATATATGGGAGTTTGAAATTTTCAATCTGACAGCCCCCTCTAGCGCCTCTCGGTCCATCCCTGCCTATGTCCACCTTCAAGTCGAAAAGCAAGGGCTTGCTGTAAAGTAATGAAAGTGATTTCATGCAGCTTCAGAATGAGAATGCTCGACTAATGCTATTACTCACCGCTTATTGCCTAAAATTTCAGAATATTGGGTGATTGTTGATCATGCATATTCTTTGTTATTAGATCTTAGGCTCTGCTTGATATGAAGGATGAAAATTTTGCTAATCAAATGGTTTAGACTCATAACCACTTTCCTAATTTGTAGCTTAACCATTTGATTTAAGTAAATCTCCATTCTCAGTCCTTTTTGTCCTTCATACCAAGTAGAACCTTAGTGTACAATTTTTCTCTGCTTTTAAAATATGTTTGTCTTTCTTTGTTTTATGTTCATTCTGCGACCTTTCCTCAATATTATACATACTATGCCACCAGGCTATGAGCTTACCTCCTACTTAACTATGACAGAAACTGCTCTTCAGTTAGAAGCCTTGGTAGGAGATCTCGAGGATGCTGTTTTCTCTTCCGGGAATCACCATACAGGGAATATGTTTGCAAAGTTTTCAACTTCACTGACATCACAAGTAATTACTCTGATCCTGTTTTCCCCTATTATTTTGAAATGCATCTTCAACATTATATCCAGGCATTCTTGCTATGCAGGAGCTTGTAGTAAAGGAAGAAAGATTACATCAAGCCATAAAAGCCATGAATGATATTGAGGAGATAATTGTCAATGTTGAGAAATCCCAATGGCGCCACCTTTTAGTTTCGGTTGATCAGAGAGTGGATAAAACTTTGGCTGTACTTCGACCAGAAGTTCTTGCACAACACCGTGGTCTTCTTGCTTCTTTAGGGTGGCCTCCGAAACTTATAACATCAAATGTTGAAAACGGAGGGGTCTCCAAGTTCGCGAACCCACTACTTATAATGCATGGAGATGAAAAGATGTCTTATACTCAAAGTTTTCACCTTCTTTGTGCTTTGCAGAAACTGCATACAAGTAGAGAAGCTCGAAAGTTCAAAACTTTAGGCCAACAGGAGTGTGAGATGCAACTTTGGGCTGTTAATGAACTGGTGTCTCCTTTAGCCGAAAGAATGGAATATCACTTCCTGAAATGGACGGAGCAGCCTGAGTTTATATTCGCTCTTGTGTATAGAGTAACTAGGAACTTTATGGAAGGCATAAGTGATATTTTGCAGCCTTTGATTGATGCAGCCAGATTAACGAGCTATAGTGCTAATGAAGCTTCGGTTTCTGCAATGGTGCATATCCTTTCTGGATTCTTAACAAAAAATGTTTTTCCTACCTTGGCTGAAAGATACAAAGATAAAGACATGAAATTAGAAGTTATCTCATTGTGGCTTAATCTAGTTGACCTAATTGTTGGTTTCGACAAACAGATGCAATCACTATTGAGATACGAAACTTGTCTCTTATTTCCAGATACTCAAAGTTATAGTAAGATTTCAAGAGGGATGTCGGTGTTAATCATATTTTGTGATAGACCAGATTGGCTTAAGATTTGGGCAAAGATGGAGCTCAAGGATGGCTGGAAGAAACTAAAATCAGAACTGAAGGATGCTAAAGCTTGGCAAATTGATGATAAGCATGGAGTTGTTTTTGATGTTAGTACACTGCTCTCTTCTGGAGAAGCCCATAAAGCTCCACATGTTGCGGAATCTGCGCTTAAAATTGCGCAAGAAATGATCGACAGATGCCACACTTTGCCAGTTATTTCAGTACGTTCCAAATTTGTAAGATCAACTGTAGCCAGTTTCTTATGGTATTTTTCTAATGTACTGCTTCTGCATTGCAAAAATGCTGAATTGTCTCCCGAAAATCTCGACGCTGGCGCGTTGGTTAGAGCATGTGAATCCATCAATGCTGCTAGATATGTTGAGTCTAAGCTGCAAGAATGGAGCGATGACGCAAGTTTCTTGGAGATGAAAATTGCTGAAAATGATTCAAACATCCATGAAAAAGACAAATGTGTTACTGCTGATTGCTTCTTTGGGGAGGAAATAAAATGCTTGGCTGAACTAGAGACCAACTGGCTTATGGAAATCGTTGCAGTTCTTCGTCAGTTTGAGAATCTAATTTCGGAATACAACCACTGTGACGACTATATCGATGAAGACCGTAATACGACACCGAATGGAGATTCAGCTATGTCCGATTCTCTTGTTGAAGCGTTGCATTCTTTGAAGAATCATCTTCATGTTCTTATGAAGAATCTGAATCGAAAGGACTTCTTGGACTTGTGGCGAAGTGTGGCCGTGGGGCTGGACTATTTTATGTGTGGTAGCATTTTGGCAAGTGAAGGTCGGTTTTCGAGGAAGCGAAGCAATCGGATTGCAACTGATATGCAAGCATTGTTCCTTGTGTTCCAACCATTTTGTGTTCGTCCTCAAGCATTCTTTCCTTGTATTAGAGACATCCTGAAGCTGTTAACAATGAGCGGAGAAGTAGTAAAGCAGTTGGTGGTAGGCTATCGAGTCAGAAAAGTGAAAAATATATTCGATTTTATGGAATTTCCCACTTACGTTTTGATCAAGTTGAGAAAACTTTGAGAAAGTTTAAGTTTTGAGTTTGTGATGTTATTTGAAATTCATAATCCATACTTCACCATTTTTATTTTGTCTTCCCTCCACCTCATTGTTTAATTTCTTTTATTACTTGTGGTTGTTGCCACTTGGCAATAGTATGGGATAGAACGTGGAGATAATCAAATCTCTACATAAGCAAAAGATTAAAGGTTTACATATTAAATATATATTTTTTCTCCAATGAATCTCAACTCCTTTAATCTGTTTGGAAGATGTTATTATAATTTTTGAAGATGTGATGAACATAGGGGTTGTAAAACCGATTCTGACTCCAATGCCGCCGCTAGTTGTGGCCATAAGATAGCCGAGACGACCCACGAACCATCACCCCGACCACTTGTCCTCTGGTTCATGTAGCCAACTCCGCTGTTTTCGATGGTTGTCGAGACTGTTCCTAGCACCGGGCTACCAAACCCGAAGTCTAGTTCGGCAACCGGAAATCGACGTCCCGATGAAATAACGACAGCAGGCCCTTCTCGACCTAGAACAAATCTTGGGAGCATCAATCCAGGCTTGTGGCACTCTATCCAATCAATTAAATCCTGGAAATAAGCTTCATTAGTCACCTTCGTTATGGCCTTGTGAACGATGTCAGCGATGTCTGATATCGAGCCCTGCTTTATTTCGACAATGCTCGCCTCTTCGGTGGTCACGGACAAGACATTACCGATGTAGTTCGACATGGAGCTATGACTCAGTCTACCACGTCCATCAACTAACCAACCCATCTTGCACTTGGCGTGGCTTTCGTCGATGCTGGTTGCCATAATCTTCCAGACATAAGCAGAGAAAGCCTCGATCTTTGTTCTCTTGTTACCATCGACGGATGCAAGAGTTTGCAGGCGATTGATGCTAGAGGCGTCGACAAAGTAAAGGCGCTTAAGCGAGATGTTGGTTTTAGGCATGTTTCTAATATCTTCTAGCGTGCACTTGATAAAGAAGTGATCAAAAGAAGGGTGATACGTTGGAGGGACCCGCGGTGGAAGGTTTCGCCCGAGATCGAGATCCGGTATGAACGAGGGAGGCATGTTTCGAGCTAGACGGGACCATGAAGAGAGAAAATTCCCGAAAGCAGTGGCATCACCTAGAGCATGATCGAATGTGAAAGTAATGGACGTCCCTCCGCAAGTGTAACACGTTACTTGGACCTGCAAGGGAAAAGGAAACTCATTGACGTCGAGGCAGGGTACCACTATCCCTTCAAGGGTCTGGTTTAAATTGTAGAAATCAAGATGACTCAAAGGGATATTGGCCAGCGCCTCCAGCAGAAGTGCGCCGCCGTTGTCGCATATGATTAGACCTTCAACGATTCGACCAGCAAACGGGTAGTAATAGCATAGAGTTTTAGCGAGGGAAGTCTTGAGTGACTCGAACAAAGTGTCGCTGTTATCGATCAAATCTCCGTTTGACCTGCTGTGACGATACAGGTACAAGTATGTAACGGGAAAACGGCCGGAGAGAAGATCAAGGTTTGAAAGTGTAAGTTTACGGGGATGCTCCGGCGAGGGAGAATTACTCTCGGCTTTCACTACACACTTTCTCCTCAATTTTACTTCCAATTTTCGTTCTTTTGGATTTCCCTCCATCTCTCAACAACTCAAATCCAATACATTACGAAGCCCTTATATAGAATGCTAGGACGCATTGATTGAATGGATGATGATGTAAACGAACACATACCATTAATCATTGCTCACGAGAAAATTCAAAGAGTCAAATGGGAGGTACTGTTATATTTGTGGAGTGATGAAATCATGTATGTTAAAGATCTTTTCTTTAGAAGACAAAAAAAGGGTGTTATTCCATGGTCTTGGGATGGGCAGATATGTGTGACGTTTATGGTGGTGCATACGGACTTCCATTAGCTGCATCAGAGTCAGAGTCCATTACGAGTAGAGTTTACTGATTTGATGATGATAAGATAACCACAAAAGTTACATGAAATCCCACGATTGTATGGGCCGTTGGTAAATGGACGGTGGTGCTGGTTTTGGTGCCTATCAATCATCCATCACTGTCCTTTACAATTTGCAAAGCCCATTCAGAGACGTAACACAAGTGCTGCTCTGCTCATTGTTTACCCTCTCTATTAACTTTGGTTTAAAAGCACAGGGTGTATTTGCACAATCACGGACGCTCCAAAAATTTTATTACTCTTTTTAATACTCCATATTTTTTTATTTTTTCTTCTCCCTTTGATTTATTGAACTATATTTAAAAAATTATATAAAATAACGGGAATTATTATAGTAATGATACTGTTAAGGTATCGCTTAATATGAATTAATTGCTGTGGGATTTGTTATTAATTTTTCCAATTCTTGATGCATTTAACATAGATGCTTTTATGTTGACAATTCTTGCAGTCATAGTTATCTGAAAATCTCATTCATAATTATTTTATGATAGTATAGTTCTCATTTATGTTATGATCTTTCATTTATTTTTTTGAAGGCATATGCAGTTACAGCTCTCATGAAAATATATGCGTTTGAAATAGCAGCTGGGAGGAAAGTAGATATGCTGCCTGAGGTTGGTTCCAGACACTTGAGGACAAATTTGTTATATGCAAATGCATGCTCGTGTATTTTGTTGATGTGTTGCATCCTTTGGTAATTTTATGTTAGATTGCAGGTTTTTAGTGCAACAATCTGAAATAATATAAACTACCTGTGTATGTTTTTCATGTTTGATTTTATGGTTGTTTGATTGCCTATGAAATGAAAATTTAGTTCTTAAGTTCTTTCAACATTTGCTAGCAAGAACTTCTAAAGGAATTAATACTCAGATTGATGAGGGAAAGTTTGACCATGGTTCTTACAGCATAACAATGAGATTCCTCTCAGTCTTTTCATATGATTTGGCAGTGAAGAAAATAAATCAGGCCTGGGCTGGGTGTCAGACTGGAAGTATGTGTTAGCATTATCTTGTTATATTGAGTGTGAAATTTTGTTACATAACAATGCTATCTTTCACTTGGCGGCGTCTTTAGCAGTAAGAAAAGTTCTACTGTTTATGTCCGAGTAAAAGTAATAATCTTCTGTACTCTCTCTCTCTCTCTGGGGGTTATCTCCGAGTATAAAGGGCATGCATAGAAATTATAATTAAGCTCTGCTTGTTAGGTTGTTCTGATGTTGAGATAATGATAGATGTCACGAAGGGTTATATTATATTAATGTGCGAGTAAGATCTGGCTTTTGGATTCTTGAAGTGGTCTAACTTAAGGATGGTAGGTAAGGGGAACACAACCACAACGTTGCTGCAACGTGCGTTTGATTTGTTATATTCAAGAATAGAGCCTACCAGGTGGAGAACAGTGGTTCGTGATGCCAATTGTGCAGTGTGCTAGTAGGATGTAGATCAATGCAAGTTTCTTGTAACCGGATAGTCATGGAACTTCCCGAGACATGTTACTATTAATATGGAAATCCCCTTATAATGCTTGCTAACTCCACTGAAAGCTAGATTCATTTTGATGAAAGATCTTGTTAATGCCTGTATATAAAATACTTATATGTATAATCATATTTAACTCTTGTTGGATTGATTGCTCTTTCCTTTCTTGATGCAGTGCCAATTTTTTATTGGAAGAGTTATTGGCTTCTTACTCAACAGATTGCAGCAATGTGCCTATGAACTGCAAGCAGTGATTGGCCTCGATGCTCATGCTGTTGAGTGTATTATGCCATCAGACGCAAGTTGTGAAGATATTGAGGTGTTTTTTCTATTGCATTCTGTTTGTTTCATTTGGTTTGAAGTATAGATTCCCATTTCTATTGCAAGTTGTTAAGATCTTGTTTCATTTTATTGCTTGCAAGTTGATTGTGCTTTTTTTTTTTTGGTGAAGTTTCTTTAACTTCAAAGTCCAGACTGATAAGTATTTAGGATCCATTCCACCTAAAGTTGTCATGTAGAGTTTGTTGAATTAAGCATTACCTTCGTTGCTTCTCCAATTTATGATATAAATTCTTCTATAAAGAAATAGTAATATAATCCCCTTCGGCATCTTCACCTGCTCCTGCATTGATGTGCTTGGTGTAGAAATTGCGAATTGTTCATTTCTGAAATCACACTACAAAGGTGTTGGCTCTTCTTAGATTGAGATAATGTTTCTACAAGAAGGTTGCCTTGAAAATGGACTCTTCTGTGACAAGACCTTTATATCTTATGTTGAAAGCTTCTGGAAGCTTCAGAAGACCAATATGTATATCTTAGCTCTGTTTACTGATTGATATTTTAATTTATGTTTTACAGCTTAAGACCATTTAGAAAATTAAATATAATTGCATGCTTGTGTTGTCTATTTTTCGTTTTAGGTCCTTGTGTGTTCTGTCAACTGCATCATGGTGGAGCTTTCTATATATATATATATATATATATATATATATATATATATATATATATATATATATATATATATTTCATGCACACGTGTCATTTTTCGTTCTCTTTGCAGGTTGATAAAGGCCTTTCTTTCCTTGATGGTTATATCCAAGAAGCAATAGAAAAAGGTGCTCAGCCCTATATTCCTGATAGTGAACGCTCTGGAGTGTTAAATATGGACAATTTTAGGAGCCAGGATCACCATGAATCATCACATGGTCTCAGGCTTGAGGCATATGAGCTCCCAAAGCCTGCAGTGCAATCTAGGATTCCTCAAACTTTACTTCCTTCAACTGAAATTGTTCCCGTGCCTGAGCCAGTGTATCCGAGGGAGACCTACGTACCCAACTCCTGTCACTCCTATTCCATCTAATCCATCAAATGCAGGATGGAGTACAAAAGAAATGGGGTAGATCAACATACACGCCTGAAACATCTACATCAAATTCGACATCACAGAAAACGGTTAATGGGGCTGCACAAGTTGATGGGCCAAGTACTGTAAATTACACGTGCGAAACCTATGCTTCAAGGAAACCACAAGTTGAAATTTCTCATGAAAAGCAAAAACTTGCTGCTTCACTGTTTGGAGGTTCATCAAAACTGGAAAAGAGGCCTGCTACCGGTCATAAGGTTTCAAAGGCAAGCAGCCACATGGTGGAGAAGTCTCATGTGCCAAATTCTAGCATGGAACTTGCATCAGAAAAGACTGCTCCTGCTCAACCACCTCCTGACTTGCTTGATTTGGGAGAACCAACCGGCACAAGCACAGCTCCTTCACTAGATCCATTTAAACAATTGGAGGACCTTCTTGACATAACTCAAGATGCTTCAGCAGCAAATGGTGCAACCGCCGCTTCCGGGTCACCTGATGTAATGGCATTGTATGCTGACACACACGTCGGTATACACAATAAAGACGATGCTGATCTTTTATCTGGCATGTCAAATCCTTACGTGACAAACATGCCTGGTGCTACTGCTAGGTCGCAACCTGCCCAAGGCAGTAGTAAGGGGTCAAACCCTAAAGATTCATTGGAAAAGGATGCATTGGTGAGACAGATGGGTGTGAATCCATCGAGTCAACCCAAACTTGTTCAAAGATTTACTTGGGTGAATTCTATATATGAATGATTTAAGGGATTTTAACAGCTATCAAATTCGCAGTGCAAGTGCAGTTTTGCATGCAGCTAGGCAGTTGAAACGACAATCATACAAGCTATATGCAATTTATGTATTATTCATAGATGCATGCAGATGTTGGTCTGTGGTCATTGGTTGCAACGTAAACTATAATTATAAATACAATGAATCCGTCGAGTGGTTTGGTGGCAAAAAGAAAGGTTATTTCCTAATGATTTTAGGTTCGAGCAGTGTGTAGGGTATGTGCGATGTTAATAAGTTAAGAAAATTCTGAGCATATATTACATTGTAATTATCTTAGATTATCAAATCTATAACCTCTGGGAAGAACAACACTCCCCTTAATCATTGAGGTCATTTGATAGGTTCCAAACAACATAATTTTATTTCAAAATATAACAACATAAACTCTTAATATAAAGTTTGAATCTTGATATTATAAATAGAATAAATTAAATTTAGAAGATTAGTCCATATTGAATATCTATAATACTCTATTCAAATTATTGATGAATAAATCTAATATTAATGATTAATAAAATAAATAAATAGTCTCTATCACTTTCTGAATAATCTGATGGGCAAACCATCCTGGGGAAGGGCAAAAGGACCATACTGTATCCCACTGTTACTACCCACCATATGCCACCGGTACTCTGTGGTCAGATGATGGAACTCTGTGGTCAGATGATGGAGAAGGACCATAATCTCTAGTTTGGCTAACTCATTCCCTGGACATGAATGGGTCCCATTACCAAATGGCATAAATGTATTGGGTTTAGGAGCCACCTGTTCTTCCATTCACCAAAACCATGCATTAGCAGATTAGCTGATATAATATCATAGCATGCATGCATGAATGTGTACTTCTGCAACATATATATATCTAGTTGTGCAAATTTTACCTGGAATCTTGAGGGATCGAACTTTTCGGGATCTGGAAAGATTTCTGGGCTGTGGTGAATATTTCTAAAAGGTGGTAATAGTTTCCATCCCTTTGGTATTAGATACCCTGAACCATCATGTAACTATTATTAGCACAAAAGAAAAGTCAAATAGG